GCGAGCTTATCGCACACAAACAGTAATTATTTAGTATATCTTGAACATCCTCCCCCCCCCTTGTAAGACGTAGGGCTTACAACCATTGAATTGAAATAGGACGTAGTTACATCATGTGAGTGACAATGTTGAAGCATATGACGACGGTGATTTTTCCCAATACAATACATACAATAATGTTAATATAATATACGAACTATTTAATATTGATGAAAAAAAACAAAAAATTAATAATAACAAAACGGATAAATAATAATCTTAAGGTCACCCGAATGATAATAAGTAAAGGACGCACAAGCGTACAATTTCAAATGAGTAATAATAAAAATAAAAATAAAATAATACAAGTTAAAAATCACTATTGAATAATTTTTTTTTTTTTGAACAAATACATTTTTTTTTTTATATATATATATAAATAAACATTAATGACAATAAATATTAGAAAATTTAAATAATATAGCTATACGCGTCCTTTATGTCTGATACCCATAGGACCTAAGGTACATTAATTGATCGCATAGCGAATGTATATAGAGTAATCAGTAACACCGGGCATGACATATTGCAACGTAAGTGCAAAGATGAACTATATATATATATATATATATATATTTTAACTTGGTAGTTTTACAACCTTTACCACCGGACGTGTAAGTGTGCCAGTTGCGGTACGCAAGTTGACTACACGCACTACACCATCCGTTCCGGGAAACACTTGTTCAACACGCGCCATGCGCCAACGTAGCGGTGGTACATTTGGCTCTTTAACAACAACCATGTCATTGACTGCAAGATTGGTCACATCGTGTGTCCAACGATTACGCGTTTGCAACGAGTTTAGGTATCCGTTGTGCCAGTGGCGCCAAAATGATTGGGTGGATTGGTTAAGCAACTTCCAGCGCTGGACTAATGGGCGTGCCGTGTCAACTGCGTGCACGTCAGGAACCGAAAGTAACGGACGGCCTATTAAAAAATGACCGGGTGTGAGACAGTCGTACTCAGATGGGTCCGACGAAAGTGGTACCAAGGGACGCGAATTAAGAATAGCCTCTATACGGCACAATAATGTGCAAAGTTCCTCAAGCGTAAACTTATGTTCTCCCATTATTCGTACCATCAGGTTTTTGGCAGATCGCACGGCCGCCTCCCATAATCCCCCGAAGTGGGGCGCCCCGGGTGGGTTAAAATGCCACGTACAGTGGAATTTAGCAACCAGACGATCTTTACAGCTGGGATCGTCAACCAACGTACGTAATAAGTTTGAGGCTCCCACAAAATTAGTGCCGCAGTCGGTATAAATGTCGGTAGGGAGACCACGACGAGCAACAAAACGTTGTAAGGCTGCCAGAAATGCGTCTGTCGTTAGATCCGACACATATTCAAGGTGAACTGCTTTTACCACGAAACAAACAAATACAGCTATATACACCTTGTATTGACGGGCCTTACGCAACCGGTGTTCGGTCATCACTAAGGGACCAGCGAAATCAATACCGACCCGCGAGAACGGATGGCACTCTGTCACACGAGATGTAGGGAGATCGGACATGACCGGTTGTGGATTGACGGACACTAAACGGACGCAAGTGAGGCATTTGTTAAGAACGGTTCTGATAAGGGTATTAAGCGATAGAATCCAGTATGAACGGTTAATAAGAGATGTCAGAATTCTCGGCCCCCCATGACCGGTGATATCGTGCCAATGGCGAATCAATAAAAACGATATGTGGGATGATTTGCTTAATAAAATCGGGTGTTTCTGTGTATTAGGTATATCGGCATTTAACAAACGGCCGCCTACACAAATTAACCCGCGGGGATCTATAAACGGACGAAGACGTGCCACTGGTTTGACGCTTATCGGAAGATTGTTTGAGAGATCGTGAAACAATTTGCCAAATGCGATTCGTTGAGAACATTTTACAACGACCACGGCGGCGTGGTCCAATTCAGTACGTGATAAAAAATCGGTTTTATGCGCTAGACGTCTACAGCCATTGATAAACCTATACATACGAGCGATAACACGAATCATATGAATGTAAGACGAGAACCGCACGTACCACTCAGGTTCGGGAGGTTCCTTATTATTGGTGATAAGCGTCGTTAATGGAGAGGTTTTCATCTCCGGTAAACCGTCAGTGAGTAACTTCGGACCTAACGTCAACCATTCAGTTTCATCACGATATAAAACGTCCGGCCCACCCCAGTATAGTTCATGGTTTACTAGCTCAGCAGGGAAAATACCACGTGACGCACAATCTGCAGGGTTACTAGTCGATGGTATATAATTCCAATTGCAGGCGGGGAGCAACGTCGTCACTTTGTGTACCCGATTTGACACAAAAATTTTAAAGCTATCATGAGGTAATTTAAGCCAGCTTAACACGGTAGTCGAGTCTGACCAGGCATAACTTTGAGTAATTTTAATTTTGCGCTCAAGGGTGAATTTAAGCCGGGCCATCCAACGAGCTAACAAAACGGCGGCACAAAGTTCCAACCGTGGAATCGTTGAGGCCTTAGTTGGAGCCATCTTCGTTTTTGCACCTAACAAAGAAATTACTGGTCCAGAACGACTGCGAAGTCTTAAATATACGACGGCCGAAAAACCCTTTTCAGACGCGTCACAAAACCCGCATAAGTGACCTTGGATACCGGAATGAGTACCAATAAATCGCGGAATGTTTAGTTTTTGTAAAATCGGGAGATCCGCCACAAACTTATTCCATACGTCAAGTATTTCGGGGGGCAGCTGTTCATCCCAAGAAATACCGAGTTGCCACACGCGCTGCATTAAATGTTTTGCTAAAAATATTACGGGCGCCAATAAGCCGAGCGGGTCAAATATGCGCGCAATTAATGATAACATGCCTCGCTTAGTTGTTATTAGGTTTTCGGACTGACAGGCATATCTAAAAGTGTCATCCCGTTGCGACCATTGGAGTCCCAAAACTTTAGTACCCCCACCAGTTTCATCATCAAATGATAATAACCCGCATGCTTGATCCTCAGAGGGCACCTGTTGTAATACCTCGATGGTGTTGCTCGACCATTTTTTTAGACTCATACCGGACTGTTTTAATATGGTTATTAAATCACGCTGAAGTGAGAGCGCCTCGGTTACAGTATCCCCTCCGACACAAATGTCATCTACATATGTACTGAATAATAACGCGTCACGAACAGCGGGGACATCAGTACAATCATGTTTGGCGATATGGTGGAGAACCCGAATGGCGAGGAAAGGGGCACAGTTTACCCCGTATGTAACGGTATTTAGCTCGTATTCTTCGAGTGCATCTTGCGGGGATGCGCGCCATAAAATGTGCTGATAACGTCTGTGTTCAGGGTCCACTAAAATTTGTCGGTACATTTTGTTTATATCTGCCGTAAATGCATGACGCGATAGGCGAAATAATACGAGAACATCTATCACGTCCTGTTGCAGTTTGGGACCCGAGAATAAGCACTGATTGAGCGAAGCGCTCGCACATGATTGCGCAGATGCATCAAATACAACGCGAATTTTCGCTTCGACGTCAGAAGACTTGAACACCGCATGGTGGGGGATAAAGTATAACCCCTCGGTTTTTGCTAAAGACATGTGACCTAACGAGATGTACTCTGCCATGAAATTACAATACGCCTCCCGTAGGCGGCTGTCGGACGCGAGCTTGCGTTCAAGTGACTCAAACCGTTTGAGCGCTACCGTACGCGAACCTGCAAAGGTGGTGTCTGCCACCGGTTGGCGAAATAATAAAGGAACTACATAACGTCCGGAATTATCTCGCGAATATTTTTTACGGAACATTACTTCACACTGCCCGTCACACGTAAAGTCATTAGGGGGTGTTTCTGGTTCCTCTACGCGCCAGAAATTATCCATAAGACATTCGATTGAGGAGACCAACGAAATTAAGTGTGAACTGGATATAGGATTTTTCGACAGTGGAACTGGGCCGATTATGATCCAGCCGAAAACGGACCCGAATGCCACCGGATAGGCATCGCCTACCGACACGCGTTTGCCATTTAATATGCGCGCAAATAGATCCGCGCCGAGCAGTAAATCAATCTTATTTGGCAAAGTAAATGAGGGGTCAGCGAGTGCGAGATTTTGGTACTTATCTGCCACCTGATCAGATATCGGTTGGCTGGGCATTTGAGCTGTAATAGTGGGGAATACCCACGCTGTGAAATTGAAGGTCGGGTTAGTCGCAAATCTAGGCTGTATGTTACAATTTACCTGCCCCCTAACGTCCTGTACTGATGTACCGGACAAACCCGAAATAGGGGCGGTCCAACGAGATACTCTTAAACCCAATTGGGCGGCGCAGTCCACGGTGATCGCGCTTATCTGGGATGCAGAATCAACCAAAGCGCGCTTAGTGTGCAACATACCGCCACAGTCGCGGATATGAATTAGCGCGGTCCCAAGAACGACGGACGATGAATTTTGCGCATTACTGCCGAGAAGAGACGATTGTGCCGTGGTTTCTTCGCGGTTCAACTGACTACTATATGTTGGGTTACTGTCCCTATCACTAATAACCGTGTTCGAAGTATGTAACAGTGGATGATGTCTGCGAGGGCAGTTAGTGCATTGCACAGGGGACTTACACTCCGGGGCCCAATGGCCCACGCGTAGGCACCGAAAACAACACCGATTTTCACGCACCCATTTTTCCCGAACGTCTGCGGACCATCCCGTAAATTTGTTGCATTTCGATACTATATGCGACCCCTTGCAGACTGGACACGAAACATTCGATTTTGATGTCCCTGTGCTGGTCATTAACGATGTGGACTGTGGCTTTTTAAAATTATTAGGGCCGGAATTATAATGTTTTGGGGTGACATACGAATTTTGAGAAGCGGACTGTTTTGATGGTTTGTGAACGGACTCACGCGGCGCACTGGGTACACACTCCAATATATTAACACGAGACTTTACAAAGAACAATAAGTCTCTAACAGTTGGAAATCCACTTGCGAGCTGAGCTTCAAAAAGCTTAATTGAATACGACGGTAAGCACCGCGATGCCAAAGAAAATAAAATAAAGTCACCCAGGTTCGGAAGTTTCATTGACTCAAGTACTGAAACCCCCTCGTCAAAGACCAATAAAAATTTGTTTAAATCAACTAGCGTTTCATTTGCGAATTTAGGTGCGTTTAATAGTTGTTCGATAAGTGAAGACGCTACTAGCCGCGGTTTATCGAATCGCGCTATCAATGTAGACCACGCGAGTTGATAATTGCTGCCGCATACCGGTATGCCGGCTATCGCCTCTAGCGCGTTGTCTCGCAAACAACCTGTTAAGTAATAGAACTTGTCTATATCTGTAATATTGGGGCGCTGGTCGACCATAGAGATAAAACGGTCTCGGAAGGTCAACCACTTGAAAATATCACCGTGAAATATGGGCAACGGAATTTCCGGCAATCGTGCAAGTTTTAAGTTAGACACATTACGTACACATACATTTTCATTTTCAACCGGAACATTTGCCCCCTGTACCCCACGTGAGCTATTAAGTACAGCATCAGCATTACTATTGGGGGGGTTAAATACAATGTTATCCCCCTCAGGGATAGACTCATTCGCGGACCCATAATCTACGTGGGACGTGACAGACCCTTTACGCAATGACCTCTCAGCACTATGTTGATTTGTGAGGTAGCGATCAGCTGTAGCGCGGGAATACGATATCATTTCACGTAACTCTGCTACCTGATCAACAGAATACTCGGAATCTCGATCTAAATCCACTAAACAATCAATAACCGTATTACTCTCCGCTGTGAACGCTGTCCATAACTCTTTGATTTCAGCTAAAAGAACTACCAATTGGGGAACTAAGTCCTCCTCCTCAATGCAACGCTGCGCGAGCGCGTGTATCGCGCGTATATTTTTAATACACTCATTACGACGCAAGGTGGCCTTTTTAAGCGTGCGGTTAATACGGCGGGCCTCCTGATCGTCCATCGTAAAGATTTGTTATACAACAGAAAGATGAACTAGGAAAATATAGATATAATATAATAATAAATATACGCGATATAATACTATACGTATAAGTGCGTCGTACGTGACACCAAGAACCGGTGTCTGTTCACTATCGACAATCGATAACGAGGAGATAGATAATAATATGATAGATTCTATATACTAATGATAAGCTAACAAAATGACGAAATTATATAGACACCAGAGAAAAAAAAACCCAATCACAATATGTCACACCGACCGGAGCGGCTAATTACCGTATGGATGGATATATAAAAGTTATAATACGAGATAAATGTAAAAAGTAACCACGCTCTGCTACCAGAAAATGTACCACAAAGGCTCCTGCGGGGGG